CTTCAAATAATTATTTTACTATTGCTGTTTTACACCATTTACAATCACTCAACACTAATCTCAGTCTATTTCCACTGGTCTTCACTGTCCGTTTCCTGGCAACTGATCTATAACGCAGGAACTATAGAAGTCTCACTAAATCACACACTCCCAATATCGATGTACTACAGCATGTTACGTCACACACACACTAAGTCTCCTAATTCTTCTTCTGGCCACACTGCTGTTCCCTTGGAACTTTGGAAGTCAAGTTAAGTGAATACAAGTCAAGTATAAAGTCAAAGTTTTAAAAACTATTAGGCTTACATTATGAAAAATAACATATTGAGGTATGTAAGTCTCCTTTGTCGTCACTAAAGTTAAAGAGAACACGTGGATACCTGTCAAAATACAATCGTCCTAATACTGAAAGCAGGCCAACAAACACAATAAATATTCATTGTTGTTTAAAAACGCATCGCTTTGCCCCAACTTCCCCTACATTAACTTCAACATTCATATTTCGGAGTGTGTTAATTTTTGTTTCAGAGACTGAAAATGGTACGCGGAAATGTGTTTATTCCTACTGCTAATGTACTGTTGGGAGTGAAGCTGTTACGGGGAATTAAATATTTATACTTGAGAAGGAAATAAACAATTCTGCAGAATATAAAACGAAGAAGACGAAGTAGCAGCGATGGCTTAAACGGAACGTTCCTCGTTTCTGGTCGTCGTGGTAAGTACGGTAACCGCGCTTTATTTCAAATGCATGGTCTCTCCCGTCCCGGACCTATGAAGAAGGCACAAAACATGAGTTTATAGCGCACAGAACATCCCAAATCTCCAAACCACAGACAAACTAAACTAAATCTCAAAGGAGTTTTCGGAATTAACTGAACTCAACATGTTCAATATTTAGGGCTTCATTAATTCACTTATCGGTTTTGTAAGAAGCAATTTCTACGTGTTATGATCCCTTTAAGACAGTCCTCACTTGTTTCATTCTTAAAGCTGGGCTATACTCAGGATCATAGTTACTTCATAACTGTAAATAATTGTGACTGCGCCAACAACAAAAAGGCAACATTTCTGTTAACCCACGTGACGATATTAGCATTGAACAAAGGTTGTGTGGGGGGCCTGCAGTAGTTCAAAATCTCCGGTTGAAGGAGAAAATTTTCATTATGGTAGATGATCCTGAAGTAAATTAACCACTTCCAAGACCGCTTGTAAACTCGAGGATAATATTAAAATGCTTACTAAAGAAATAGAATGGGAGAATTTTATATGAAATTCATCTGGCTTAAATTTTGGAACTTACAGCAAGTTTTTTAAACATTACTCCATAAAATTCTGGGAATTTCTTATATAAGTGAGCAAATGTTAAATTCTCAAGAAGAATTCTATTCTATTAAGCAGATAGTATAGGTTTATATTATAGCCCCCTTTCATGGGGCTGCAGTAGCAGAGAATATGTAGAGTCGAATGGGATGATGATTCGTGAAGAGTAATTGGGATTGCTGTGGATGTGATCAGTCGTGGCCGAATCTTGAGTCACTCTCCCAGCAGTTCCCTGAGGGACTGTGAAGAATCGCGAATAATCTAAGACAGGATAACCATGCCACCACTGAGATTCGAACCAGATGATACGTAAGTAAAATCAGAAGTGTTACCAACTTTCTTGAATAATATGCATAATAACGATGGTCATCACAATAATAATCCTGTCGTCTGCATCACAAAATTCCATATATTATTCCGTACTTAACTGTACGTCGCTATACTCGTATGTAATACACAATGCAGCCCTTGGGCCCCAAATTTTCAATTCCGTCTTTATTTATTAACGTGTTTACTCAACACCCAAAAGGAGCAGTATAAATTAAGTTTAAACAAAAAGGAAAACAAACAAACAAAAAGGCAACAACAACAATAATAATGAACTCCGACCACAATAGTGTATTGGCGTTTCAAATAAATGATTGGAAAACTGAATCCATATCTAATAAATCAACGAAATGATTGCCTTTTGGCTACTTGTATCGAATAAGATGTTGAAGAAGGCATTATTTAAAGAAAAATACAGTCGCGAATCTCTCTCTGTCTCCTTAGTAAAGTTTCATTAAAACCTGACGCATATGAACCACACATTCATTTGGTCATCTTCAGGCAACTCTGTCACTACGTGTCGATACAATATTTCCGAAACAAGACTGTATTCCATTTTGTCGCCAGAGAAAATTCTATATCTTTTCCTTTCATTCTTTTTCTGAAATGGCTATCAACAAGACTAAGATCAAGTTCCGAGAATACAGAAGGAGAGAATTTTTCAACGACAAAGTATTGCCTCGTTGTTGAGTGGAAATAGTGTACCAAGAGTTCTTTACTGACTGACTGACTGACTGACTGACTGACGCGGCGAGGCTACTACTCTCTGGACCGTGATCGATCTCTCGATCTGTTTCGATATATTCTCTCGGGAAAGAAACCCCATCAGACATGATGGAATAGCAAGAAATCGCGGAAGAAGAAGAATGAGAACAGAGAAGGAAAGGGAGGGATAAGATTGGAGATTACAGACAAAAAATTATATAGAAGCGCATAAGAAGAAGAAATTGAAGTCCGGAGACGGACAGATGCTTCACAATGAGTGGGTAGGATTTCATGAGTGTGGAAGAGGTTCAAGTTTGTGCTCCGTCTGCTAGGAATTTATGAGGCTAGGACACTGAGGAATAGGCCAATAAATGCACCATAAAATTGGCTTACATATAAATAATTCAAACCTAAGGAACCATAACACATCTAATAACATATTTCTGAGAGATGGGAACATTAATTTGGAATTTAATATGTCTATAGTACTATTGAAAGTGAAGGTAATGGACCAGCCCAAAGCCGCGCCATAGCCCAAGCGGTTAGTCGCTGGCTTCCCCCCGCGGCGGCACGGGTTCGAGCCCGGGTCTGGTCAAGTGGGATTTGTTACAGGGTGGTCTATGTTACAGTGAAAGTGTACGATCGAGGGCAATTTAGAAAGAAATAAATTCCTGATCTACCACTAATAAATTTGCAGAAATATTGTGAATTGTAATAACACATTCATCTTTAAAGAATTCAACAACTATTCCTTTAGATAAAAAAATTAATTCCGTGGCTTTAGTTCGCAAGCGTACTATACTGACCGAGCGACTGCTGTTTGTCGCCGAAGTTACTGTCAACTTTGGCGGACAGAGGGTGTCGTGGGGTCGGCCCAACAAATCCCCATGGCCGTTAATTTCGGTTTTCTAGACCGGAGCCGCTACTTTTACATTCAAGTAGCTCCTCAATTATCCTCACGAGGCTGAGTGGACCCCATTCCAGACCACCATTTCTCAGAAAATCTGGTAGCGCTGAGAATCGAACCCGGTAGATCTGTAGCCAGGAACTCTTGACGACTAGACCACAACTTCCCATTAATAAAAAATAATAATTAAGTTCTTTATTATAATGAAATGTAGTTTTTCATATGAACATAATTTTTTACGAAGTTTTCACCATTATGAAATTCGAAATAAGATTTTAAATTTCTTGGAATTTCTCAAGATTTAAAAACTTATTGGGTTCGGGTATTAAATCAGAATGATATCTTAATCGAAATTCAAGTGAAAATTTAATTGAAGAAGTGCGGAAAATTTTATTTAAAACTCAAAGCATAAAAATATCACGCAAAGATTACAACTGTGGCTGGTTTTCAGTTGGTATTCATTTTGTTTCCTAATTCGCAGGAAATAGACGTTATGTCGGGTACGGCATTCCAATGAGATGTTAATATTCAAACAAATCTGAAAAAATTACATAACGCTTAGTTTGTACAACTCCTCCGAGCGAAAACAGTTTGGGAGTTTTAGGAACTCATGGAGGAACATTAAATGCATCTTGGATAAATAATACTTTAAATTGTGCACTTGATTCAACTGCATCAAAACATAGTTCAATTGAGGGTTTCTTTGAACAGGGCAGTTAACGTTCGAATTCCACAAAAACAAGAAATATCTTCAACATCTCTTTTATTATTGCTAGCGGGGTTGGACTAAGTCCCTTGTACTGCGGCCACTTCTGACCTGTTGTACCAGCCCCAGATGATAGGTGAGGGTGATTGTAGAGCAATTGGTGGAACGAAGATTGACAAGGGAAACCGAAGTACTCGGAGAAAACCTACCACAGCGCCACTTTGTCCACCACAAATCCCACTTGACCAGACCCGTGATCGAACCCGGGCCGCGGTGGGAAGCCAGCGACTAACCACTTGAGCTATGGCGCGGCCTTTTCTTCACCAATTAAATAACTATTTACTCTGATTAGAGAATTAAGGTATTATTTGAAGAGTGTTCAGTAATGTCTTTGAACGGGTTTTTTTGGCAATTAGAAATTTCTTTGTATTTAAAAGTTCATGTTACGCAATAAGATGCGATGCAATGCCTACGTTACGGGAGGGTAAACTGAGCGGAACCTATGTTTTATGTAGTGTGACACGAAAATAAAGCTTCATTTCGGCGTGCTTTCCATTTCTTGGGGTTATTATACCCCTTTCGTACCCCAAAAGCACACTGTACGAATAAACACACCGAAGTAGACTAAGAAAAAGACAAGGGAAAAGAAGTGTAAGGGGTAAAAAGGAGAAAATGATGGTAATAAGAGAAGAGATAAATTTAGAGCAGAAAAGCAGAAGAGTAGGAAGGAATTTATTCGAAAGGAAAATGAGGTATTGTAGAAAGAAGAAACGCACAAGAGCAGAAGAAGGGCAAGAAAAGAGGGGAACGAAATGAAGACGAAGACATTTATTATTTTAAAGCTACCCCTAAGCCTTTTCGGACCTGAGGGTGAAATGACGATTTGTTTGCTGCAAATATATATATGTATATAATGTTGGATGAAAGAATATGGCGTGATATGAAGAGCAAGTTGAAGTGTGTTAAATCGTTTCTCTAACACGCACATGACAAACATGTCATGAGGCGTAGGATGTATGACAAAGTGGTACTTACATCCACTGTCATTCTGCGGCCACTCGTAAGGAATACCTTTCCCCGTCGCATCAGGTGATGATTTCTGTTCTGATTTGTCGATTTCATTTATGTTGGATGAATATTTGGAACCTGAAATCAGACATAAAGACGATAGATAGTATTGAGTCTGTGCCTGGCCTGCGCATCACGCCACATCTGTATTGAGGTGCGAACTTCTGCATGAGATGGGGGACAGAAACAAGCTCCACTCCGGGGCCGTCCTCACACTAAGGGAAAGACAGCACTTAAAGGCCATTTTCATCCACTTTCGGCTCTCAACGTTGTTACGAATTCATACTAATGTCTTCTTAATTAGATTTTACGGCAATTTTATATAGAATTAGACTTATTAGTTATGCTGCGAAATTATTAAAATAAATACACATATTTTGTGCATGAACAATCAATATAAACCAATACAGAATAACAGTTACGAACTAACACATTTGGAAAAAGAACTAATTTCTCTCGCTTGCAAATTGTACGTATATAGCTTTGAAAAATCCAAACACTAACCTAAAGTTTAAATCTGTATGCTATTTTTAATGGAAAAGAAAGGTTTATATGTTTTCCTATATTCAAATACAACAGTAAGAAGCACTGAGAAATGCTGGGGGTGATTTAAATCGTATATACTTGTACATTATTGTGACATGACGGCTGAAAGCCGCAGCACTGCTTAGCAACGGCTCGGAACTCACGTTCTCTCAACAATAAATAACAAAAAACGAGTGGTCGCCAGGTAGCAAGTTGCTAAACACAAGATTCCGCGACAACCAACAAAATAAAAGAGGACAGCTGACTGTTCGATATGGTGACTTATATTCGGGCCCCGTGACAGTTTAAAATGGAGTTGATTCGTGCATTCAAGGCAGTGAGAGATTCTTCACAGATATTCATCAGACAGACATCCTTAAGAAGGAGTTCAATTTGTGAGCTGTTACGTTGACTGTAGTTATAAATAAATGCCAATAACTCCAAACATCGAATCCAGCACCCAATATTACTAGTCATGCAGACCCCTCGTACGTAATGTTCTGTACAACTGCTATTTGTATCGGAACCACTGATGGATAATATTGTCTTTAACTTTAACTGGGAGCAAATTTATTTTTGGAAACAGAAATCTGAGGCTGTGTAAGTGAAAGCAGAGTTAGAGCATAAGCCCAAATATAAGGCGATCCGTTATTTTTCCATGATGAGACCAGAAGCGAAGCATTTGTTTGAAGAAATGTAATGTCATTTAGTTTTGCGGGTTATTCCTCCAAACCAACTTCACAATTATTCTTATGGGCCGGATAACAAGGTCATTTTCGAAGAAACAATACAAAAACAAAAAGGGTCTCGCTTTGTATCCCGGCTGATACGGCAATCGGGCCCAAATTTAAATATGCACCTCTTAACGATGTGTACATTATTTATAACAAGTAACAATTCGATGGTTAGCACAGCAGGTACATACACAAACAGGACTTCTCACAGCAACGTGAGCTATAAAGAACACAGGAGGATTAATGTCATTTGGACAGCCTAAGAGTGCTGAAGTCCTAATTCTATTCCTTTGCACTTAACATTATATTTCAGAGCACTGAAACTATAGGTATTACTATCGTAGTTTACCGGCTGAATTCTGAAGTACTTAACATCGTAGGTCGCAGTAATATGCCATCTATTTCTTTGCCTACGTTCAGTTGAAAGTGAATTTGCAGAGATATTAAACGCATCGAGCGTATTAATGCAAGAAGCAGTATGCAGTAACAATGCTTTACTTTCCGAACCTACTTTGTATTATTTTCTTTTCGAAATTTTAATTTTGTGTACATTTGACGACTTTCTAGAGAATTTAATGGGTTTGACGACCCCACTCTATTAGTAGAACGTCGATGAGTCACCAGGGGCGAAATTAAATTATAGAAGAATTGTATTACATCCTTCCCCAGTGAACTGTGAAAACACTAACATTTAGAGTTAAAATCTATATGAACATTTTGTTGATACTGACAGGGAAATTGGATGTCAGGTCTGCATCTCAATTCTTCATATAATGTAGTTATTTTTGACAAACCTTCATCTTCTCTTGTTGGGGGCTGATATAAGAGGATGTGGGTTATTCTTGTCATACAAATCGAAACGAGAGCAGGGGACGAGAGACGAGGAAAAGCCTGTACCGACTCTATTATGGCTCCAAGTTTCCCCGTTCCTGTTCCCATGTTTGCCTTTCTGATTTCGTAATAATTTCGCCTATTCCTGTATCCTATTATCTGGGCTACGTAGAGACTGGTGTATGAAGAACTGGGGGAGGGGGGAGTTGCGCTCCATAACATCCACCTCTCCCTCAACCATCTCTTCTTTCCTATCCTTTAGAAAGACTCAACATCCCTGATTTCTAAATCAGCAGAACATCTGCTGCGCGATGCGCCTGCTGGCTTCGAAACGGGAAAGAAAGCAAACCGAAAGAGAATTTCGAATGAACATCGTAATTAATGCTAAGTGGTAGAGGGGAGAAGCTTTTCATTAGAGCTCGAAAGAAAAAAGAATGGAAGGACAGATGAGACTTGCTACTACTTTCTTCCCCTTTCTTTCATTCTGTCCCCTCTCTGTCTCTCTTCTTATAGTATCTTGTGTTGCTTTCTCTCCTTCTTGCGTCCCCTTATTACCTACAGCCATTCGATGTTACTGAATGTTTTACACAGTGTTATGAGGCAAGAATCTCTTCCGCTTCCTCACTAAATCCTATCCTGTCATTCACGAGCTGAAGACGATCTGCTGATACAGTCCTGTCCGTCCTGTCCGTCCTGTCGCTCTGGCTCCGTGCAATTTGGCGGAAACCGGGCCACCAGCCTCCGAAGACCGTTTTTCGAATATCAATTGGCACAATTACTTTTTGTATTTACGGATCTGTATGCACTATTAGATTCTAAAGGGTGCTGGCGATTTCCTCTATTACCTAGAATTCCGGACGATGGAGAAAGTCCAAAACCCCAGTAATTCTGTGTGTATGCNTTGTCAAAAATCACTTCAGTAACTAAAACTGTTTATTTACTAGCAAAGTGCGACAACAATGCAACAAAGTGTTCCTTATTTCTTACACTTTCACTTTCGACGCAACATGTTTCGGCCCTAAATGACCATCTTCAAGTGTCTAAGAAAGTGAGTGTGTAAGAAAGAAGGGACAGTTTGTTACACTGTTGAGGGACTGTGTAGTACATAAACAGTTTTAGATGTAGTAATGCAAGATGATGCTTAAATACAGGATCACTTCACTTCTTTTGGCTTGTTTTGGACTTCACCCATCGTCTGGCATGTAAAAGAAAAAAGACCACGACGTTTCGGAGACTGGATCTGCCTCCGTTTTCGGGTGGATAGGGAAGGATAAACCTACTCAGTTGGGTCTCAATCACTGGTCCAGTGATTGAGACTAGCTCTTTCTAGCGGGCCCAACTGAGTAGGTTTATCCTTCCCTATCCACCTGAAAATGGAGGCAGATCCAGTCTCCGAAACGTCGTTGTCTTTTGTCTTTTACATGCCAGACGATGGGTGAAGTCCAAAATAAGCCAAAAGAAGTACAGTATACACCATCGTCAGAATCCTTTCAAGTCTATCCGGGATCACTTCAATAACTTCAGTAAATAACAGCCATTATACAAATGTGGTAATAAAATGAAATATCCCCTGCGACCCATTGTTTTTAAACATCGCGTTAAAGACCAAGCAGTCAAAATGCGTATCTGAATTTAAGTGTGAACTGGGTGTAAGGCCGTGCTAGAGCAGTTACATGCGTGATTTTACACTTCCAAATGATGATATGCATTTAGCTATCTTTTATGAGTCATTTACACAAAATTATCAAGCAAAACGTATCTGTCCGCTGGATTTTCAAACAGAATATCAAAGCATTTCGATTAAACGTTGTGTGGGAGATCTGCATTAAAATTACAAAGCGAATTTTCCTTTGATACGCATCTGTGGATCAATGGTACTCTGCCCTCAAATGAAATATAAAAAAGAAAAATCGAGAAAGACAGCGGTTCAACGTGAAAAAAGGCACGTTATATAAACTGTGAATCACCTTATAGTCTATAACTTCAAATACCGATGATGAAGAAATTATGTAACAGAATAAGTAGGTTTCTCTACATTCTGTACTGAGTGTTAACTAGCTCTGCAATTGGTAAATTTGAATATTTTTTTTTCCTGTGGCGCTACAGCCCCAATTTGGGCCTAGGCCTACCTCCATGAAACTCTCCGTTTTACTTCGGTTTACTAGATCTTACACATACGGTAGGACTCCTTGGGCGAGTGATCAGCTCGTCGCAAGGCCTCTACATGTAGAGAAACACAGAAAAACGAACACAAACATTCATGCCCTGCGTGGGATTCAAACCCACGATCCCGGCTTCCGAGCGAGCGAAGACAGTGCATGCCTTAGACCGCTCGGCTACCGTGACCGGCAAATTTGAATATACAGTACAGTAACTGAACATAAAATCAAGAGGGGTGTAGAATCAACATAATTCTTACTTATGAACTTCTTTTTACTTTAAAGCAGAGCAGAGATATTCTAATTTTACATGAAGCAGGTAATTTTCGATCATATTATATTACCTCTCCTGTTAAACAGATTAAGTCTGAATTACGTTAGTGACTCTAGGACCTTATATTCTAAAACTATGTAAAAGTGTGAAGAGTAGGGGTCTTGTGGATTATAGAGAGGTGTAGTTCAGGCAAAGGCCGATCATAGTGGCCTCAAGGTCAAAATGTATATCTTCACCCGCTCAAAATCTTGGATCGGGGATTCGAATCCCACTTGAGGTATGGATGTCTGTGTGCGTTTATTCTGTGTTTGTGCTTCCCTGTGTTGCAGACAGCGGCCTTGCGACGGACTGATCACTCGTCCGACGACTCCTACTGACTGTATGTCAGATTAAGAAACTGAAGTGAAACGAAGCGTTTCACGGATGCCATATGCTCCAAGTGGAACAACAGGAACACGAATGAATGTATCCCTGTAACACGATTGGTTCTGCATGGTCCACCAGCACATGTTCGATCACGTTGCACACTAACCCAGCTCCGAGGGTATATATTGATACTGATACTGCACGGCAGGCTTACAGCCATTCTGAATGTGATACGCGAGAGTAAAAACAGGCTTAAAGGCTTAAAAAATTAATTCGCTTAGTGGGGGGTGGAGTCCAGCTGGGTCCACTTGGCACGGCGTCCACTGATTGGCCTATTGTAGCCGCCCTGGGTGATTGTGATGATGGAGAATTTGGTGGAATGAATATTGGCAGGGGAAACCGAAGAACTCGTAGAAAACCCGCCCTATCGCCACTTTGTCCACCACAAATCCCACTTGACCAGGCCCGGGATCGAATCCGGGCCGCCGTGGTGAGAAGCCAGCGACTAACCGCTTGAGCTATGGCGAGGCCGCGCCTTAAAGGCTTAGGTTTGGTGCTGGTTTCCTTAAGAGATGACCTTTCGGGGCAATGAAACTGAGTTTGTCAGCTAAGAAAGTTATTGGTTCATCTTCATGAGACTCGATATGAATTTAATGAAAGTGGACATTATCTAGCATAATACTCGTATTATGACATGTCATGTCATCCACCTGGAAGTACTGAGAAGTAAAGCGTGTTGGTCACCTTCGGAAGTGTTGCCTCAATGAAAGCCCCCTTAGCCTCCACGCCTTAAATTCTACACAGCGGTTGCCTGATGGTGAATTTGTAACCTTCATTCAGGCATTTTTCTCAATAATGGGTAATACACATGTAACATGAATATGCGAACCGTCGAATTTGTTTCTCNACAACGCAGTATAATGCTTTGAGATTCAACAGAAGTCTCGGAGGAATATGTCGTTTCCATCTTCAGGCTTGCAGAATAAGCCGAGCAGAACCCAACACTGGGCAGGTAGCAGGTAAAATCCGACATCCTTCACACTTGTTTTTGCTTGGCTTATTCTTAGACTTTAGAATAGAGGCGGCATGTTCCTCCGAAAGGTTTGTTGACTTTCACCTGGCTACACAGCAATACATGCCAGGAGACAGAATTCTTCTTAAGCACTTCTGTGAGAACCTCATATGCTACATATTTAGGATGTCATGAAGTTTCTTTCCAACTCTGTGAATCTTTCCCAAGTACGTGTATATCGAGCACCAAATAAAATGACTGAATTATTATATTACATGACGCCTGAAAGCCGGAATAGCGAAACCAGAGTAGACGTCACGCACCCCAAACTAATGACCATATCTTGGAACATTTACATCAACATTTGTCTTAAAATGGAATGCGACGACTGAACTTATTGCGTTCACTAATGAGTCTGATTGGAACTTTCGCTCGTGTAGAGGGGCCAACTGATATAACGCAACAAGTACGAGTATATCAGAAAGAACTCCTGGTTCCAGCCGGAATTCGAAAGACAAGGATACGAAACCGACAGAAGCAGCTCATAATGATGGGCAGACACACGGTAGCACAACGTGAAAATAAACAAGTACTAGTACCTTCCGAGTCTATAAAAATGCGTTTGTGTGAAATGTGATGTGATGTCCTCAGCCCGAGGAATAGTTTAAAACAACGTCAGTTATGAGAACAAAAGTCTGTTAACAAGTTACAGAAGTAACCGGGATTTCCCATAGACACATTTAGGAGTTTTCTTTGAAAACCACCGAATTGCACACAGTGAATAATACAATATTACGCACCATACAGCCAGCAGAGCTTACCCCGAAATTCGAATGTTGGGAAACCGAGTAGGAATGAAGTGCACCTGTGCCTAAGCCCCTGCCATGAAAGTAGTCTCACGTGTGTAACCTGACCACTAGATAGAGAAGAGTGATAAGATTCGCTCTTCCACCGCTCTGCTCCCAGGGAAAGGATCCCTGATACTCAGTGCACAGAACGCTGGATATGTTCTAGAACGGGGTTGGATGTAGTGCTAAAGATAATTATCCAGCTCAGGGATATACGTGTATATTTAACCAGGCAGGAAATAGATTTTGGCATTTATTTGTGGAAACCACAATACTGTTACGTAATAATAATAAAAACAATGACAATAAAAATAATCTCTATGCCTATATAAAAGCCCAAGGCTAGCTGGGATATTTTATGTCTCTAAATGAAAGCTTTGGTAGTTTTCACACTAAATACCATGATGAGGTAATGAGAAAAGTAATTATGGTTCAGTCGGCATTACAGTCTCGAATTTTTCCGAAAAAACTTCAGTTACTTCAGTCGGTATTTCAGTCTCGACATGGTCGAAAATCAATTCCCATCGATGTCAGCAGATATATTCAGTGAAGTTGTAATTTCTTAATGACAAGTTGAGGCGTCATCGGTGCAAACTGTAGCTATACGTGGGAACTCTTCGTTTTAAAAGGTTCATCCCAATTTCTACACTTAAGGGCATTCAGAATTGAGTGCGGGTGCACGTTACCGTGACATTCTGCTACCATTTGTAAAAAGGATGTGTATTTATGACGAAGACATTTTTTATGAACAAGCTTGGTCGAAAACTTTTAATCTAGATTGGAGCATACCGTTATTCTATCAAACACTGTAGCTAGCATAAATGTAGCTACTTTTTTAACATCTCAAATTACTGGAGTTGCACAGAAAGTCCCAGGAAGAAAGGTCAATATTCTGGGAGGCCACGGTATCGGTCATTCGAAGCAAGAAAAAGTATATGTGCATGTGTCCTATTCCGAAAGGTTTCCGAGGTAGAGTCATTTCACTGTACAGTACACTTTACACTGTAGAGACAAGCAACACTCCACGTCTACACACGAGTTGCAAGGTGCATTGCAATTGACGGTGGAATTTTATAAAATGTATTGTACTAAGTAAACTGTGGCAACTTTGTCACTTGAACAACAAATACCTGCATTAGAAACAGTACGTGACATATTTCTTATAAACAATTTTGATACTGTACAGTGAAACATCTCTAGCTCGGAAATTGTTCGGAATAGGACACATGAACATACGTTTTCTTGCTTAGAATGATCGATACTGTGACCTCCAAAAGTATTGACCTTTCATCCTAGGATATCCTGTATATTCTTGATTAACTGTTATAAAATTTTCATTTGAAACTTTAATTGGCTTTATAAAACATCATCATCATGAACAACAACTACTACTACTACTACTACTACTACTACTACAACTAATAATACTCGTAATTTCTACCTTTCTCCGACAAGTGCCCACTGAGCAAACTGGGATTGCTGTACACAGAGTTGTTCATGTCCCCTGCGCCGTCCCAGGTTTGATCTGCAACCAGACAAACAGATTGCAGTAATACAGTATTCACGATACTGCGCCGCTGTTACGTTCATCTTCTGATGATACGTAATACATTTTATGGGATTCTAGGTGCTGCTAGAAAATATCACAGTAATTTGCTCTTCTCCTAGTGAATTTCAGTACATTGTTTATGGTGAGAAGAAAGCGAATACAGAATTCCGGGTTTCAGTCTCTACATCTCATTTCGCCATCAGTCGGTTTTCTCGTGGAAAGCTGGATTTTGCTATAATACGGGACCATTTTCATTTTAGCAAGGGAGAAGAAAAAAAATGAACTTTTACAAGGCAATGACAGTGGAAGTTAAGTCTGGAAGTGAAAGAAACGTAATTCAAATTGGACACAGGTACCTAAAATAATACGTCTAAAAAAATTAAAGTCTGTGCCAGTTCTAACGCGATAAATTATAAATGCATCCATATAAGTTTCAATTAAAGACAAAATGTCAATTTATAAGAAAGAACGCTTTAAAGGCCAGGACAGAATGGAAATTATAAATTTCCAAAACAAACTCTTTCAGTGCGACAAAGATAGAGAGGATCTTGGGCGACCAAGAGAATGATGGACATTCTAAAGCCGGAAGAGGCCATTGACTAATTCATTAAGAAAATAAATAGAAGCAGCAGGAGGCGAATTTTGGAAAGCACTTGAAATTTATAAAACAGCTGACCAAAATTGTGACATTACCATTGTCAATGCAGACAGAAATTAGGCTTCTCATCTTGCCTGGTATACTGTGTCAGTTCTGCGTTTTTACGATAAAATATAACCAATGCAAATGATTATAATTTAAAATATAATTATTTAGTTCTTCTATAATTATACAATATACGTATTGTGTCTACTTTATTCCACGAATGTGACCCTAAATTTAAAGTTACAAAATTATTTGCGGTAATGACATGATTTATTTGGCCATGTATTTGCCTGATGACGGCTTTTAATAGCCGAAACATGTAGCAGAGCCAAACTAGGCACTGACTTTAATATAGTTGTGATGTGATGGTTTTAATAAAGTAGTTGTAAATGATATGATTGTTTATAATAGAAATGTGGCAGCAATTTCGAGCAGACAAATTGCAGTACACTCTTTCCTGTAGAAACAGATAACTGAAATGTCTTCTGGAAACATTCGTAAAATAATACCGAGTGATTCTAAATTATTGTCGGCATTTCCCTGGCCTATAAACCGAAACGCCGACAATAATTTAGAATCCCTCTGTATTTACTTATGAATGGATAATGATCAGGATCTGTGACTCTAGTGTTGTTTATTACATACTGTAACCTCAGTAGTGTCATGTTGGTTCATTGTATTTAAAAAGTTTCCACACATATATTACAAAGATGTCAGTCAGTATTCGAAAGTGTGCACTGAAATCAATTGGGCTATGTTGTACCGAACATAAATTTTTGATTTCCACTGAAAGGCCCCTCTGCTCCATACGAATACAAAAGACCGAGAAAACTGTCACATACTTGTACTTTCTCTCTGTCCCATACGGATACAAGGGACCGAGAAAACTGTCCATACTTGTACTTCCTCTCTGTTCCATACGGATACAAGGGATCGAGAAAACTGTCACATACTTGTACTTTCTCTCTGTTCCATACGGATACAAGGGATCGAGAAAACTGTCACATACTTGTACTTCCTCTCTGTTCCATACGGATACAAGGGACCGAGGAAACTGTCACATACTTGTACTTCCCCTCTGTTCCATACGGATACAAGGGACCGAGAAAACTGTCACATACTTGTACTTCCCCTCTGTTCCATACGGATACAAGGGATCCAGAAAACTGTCACATACTTGTACTTCCTCTCTGTTCCATAAGGATACAAGGGACCCAGAAAACTGTCACATACTTGTACTTCCCCTCTGTCCCATACGGATACAAGGGACCCAGAAAACTGTCACATACTTGTACTTTCTCTCTGTTCCATACGGATACAAGGGATCGAGAAAACTGTCACATACTTGTACTTCCTCTCTGTTCCATAAGGATAAAAGGGATCCAGAAAACTGTCACATACGTGTACTTCCTCTCTGTTCCATAAGGATACAAGGGACCCAGAAAACTGTCACATACTTGTACTTCCCCTCTGTTCCATACGGATACAAGGGATCCAGAAAACTGTCACATACTTGTACTTTCCTTCTGCTCCATAAGGATACAAGGGACCGAGAGAACTGTCATAGCGACAACACTCTAGACTAGTATTTCGGGGACATTCTCTTTGAATCTCTTTGGGACGCCGGTTTCCTGAAGCTTCTCGTAGTTTTCTTCAGTCTCTTCTTGTAAATGTTAAAATAGCACCTGGACAAGACCACCATCGGTTTCTTCCGAACCCTCCTAAATTCATCATTCGTCTGTAATGTCACTATTCAACGCAATATATGTTACCTAGTTACTGCCAGCGGCGTACAACGCCCCTTCCCCGCACGCAGTATGCGGGATATGCAGGAGAATGTGATTAAACCTCTTCCAGAGAACAAATGTCGTCCAGCTACATGAGCTGACGCGTGAATGAATGTGGGAAGAAACTGTGACACGTTTATACAGTTTTTTAGTTTTGTGACTTTAAATTTGACATTATGACTACATTAACATCACGGGACAATTGTAGTAGAATACTTATATTACCTCATGCCTTCTGTTACATGTGATTGTTAAAAATTAAATAGAAACTCATTTTCCATAATGTTATGATTTGAAATCAACAGTACACCGTAGTGAAAATGTAATTTTCTATATTCCTGCATAGTCTGAGAGGAAAGCAGACTGGAGTTGGCCTAGCAGGAAAATGCAGAACCGTACATTATGAGAAGTCCACGATATATATTCAGAATTATTGATATATGGAGTCATTAGCGTCCCACTTTCTATAGTCATTTATGTCCTCGAGATCAATTCTTTGTTCACAGAAATGCCACTGGTCTCAGCACTGCAATAGCTTCTACGCCACTCGACTACACTGAACTACGAACTGAAAGGATCTTAAATCTCTCCGCCGTCTACGCCCTTGTTAAGAAAACATCAGAGGAAGGGAGGATTCTAGATTGCTGGCCGGGACCTCCGCTTTCCTAATCAGATATCTGCTTCCACGAACATTTCAAAAGATTCGAGTTATGAGCGCTCAGGCCAGGCGCCGCGGTCCTTTCGGATTCCTTAGAGAAGGGGGTCTAGATAATTCGGTAACAGAAGAGGCGCGCGCAGGCCAGCAGAGGCGATGCAACTATGTTCCCGTGACACAATATTAATCACCTAATATAGTTAGAGAAATTCTGTAAAGAATAATCAAATGGACTTATAATGTGTCACAGGCAGAGAAATACACCGATGTGTATTCTAAATTTTCTTGAAAAATTACTTTTTGGAAGGTTATGCAGATACTGGAGGAAATACCATAATACTGAAGTAATGACAGGCAGTAAATTAGGCTGAACTACCCCAAGGCCACTGTGTGTGAACACGGTTCTGAAGCTCTCGGTATACTGAAACCATGTTGGCTCTAGAACCACTTCAGATGTGACACTGAAGACAATACCTTCAACGGTCCAATTGGGTTCACTTACAGAGCTCCCATGTGCTATATTTAAACTGTACCCTTCTAGCCATGCCACAATTCTTGCCAGAGTGCTGAAAATTACGCCAGAATCAAGCGAGATGCTGATTCCCTTTTCGGGTTTCAAGTGTACATTACTGTAACTCCAGCTTGCTCGGTTTAGTGTCCTTGTTTCAAGAGACAACGGCGCCACTGTCGGAAATAAGTAAGCTTAAGAATTAACCTTTGCAGTCAGTGCAAGGTTTCGTTCAAGTAACGAAGTTAAAGTTAAGTTTCTCGAGTATCAACAGCCCGTTTGCAATAAGGAGGAGCTTGAAGCCACTGGAGACATATAAAAGTTAATTTCAGCGTCATTGTTACGTCTGATAATTGCCCTCATTGTAGTTCAGTGCATTATGTTCTGACGTAGCAATTTCCTTTCTTTGAGGAACAGTGCTCTCTCTCTCTCTATATTTCTCTTCAGGAAACAAGATACGGCGTCTGTGTAGAGTCCCTACTTGCGCAAACTAAGTCCTCAGCTTCCTGCTTCCGTTCTTAACATTTGCAGCCAAAAAACATTGTTTTACATATTGATCATGTTTCGTTAAACGTCTGGTGTAAAAGGGTTATTGGTCTTTGAGCAATAATTTTCCTTCAGCACTATAATAGCAGGGATATGCGGTAGCGTAGTTGGTTAAAGCACTAAGCTACAAGCCAGAAGGTCGCGGATTCGAGTCCCGATGAGGTGGATTATTTTTCACTTTACCTAATCCTTCCAGCCGCACTATGGCTCTGAGGATGACTCAGCCTCAAACAGAAATGAGTACCAGGAATCCTCCTGGGTGGTAAAGGGCGGCCGGCGCGTAAGGCTGACAACCTTACCGCCATTTGTGAGCGGAGTGTCTAGAACAGCCCTGTCCGCCATGGCGCCCGTGGTATATTTTTCTGGCGCCCTCCGTAACCACATATAATTGAGCCGATTTTTAATATTAATTCAAACCGTAAGACAAGAGACATTTTTGAACGTCTGAGTACTGTTAAATATTTTCAAAAAATTTTTATTATTATAATTATTATTGTTATTATTATTATTATTATTATTATTATTAGTAGTAGTAGTAGTAGTAGTAGTAGTAGTAGTAGTAGCAGTGTGTGGTGGCGCCCGCACCTCCATAGGCATCAGTGAATTGTGCCCGAGTACATAAGAACGTTGGACAGCACTGGTCTACAAGATGTGGGGGCCTCAACCGCTTACAACCCTATGGGCCTCCAATGACTGTTACAGGGATAATTTCACTTGAATGTAATAGGAGCCCAAAGCAGTTCTGAAGAAATATATAATGGACACAAGACCTAGGAATTAATCACAAGTCTCAAGTATATGTCGCTGTCTGCAGAAGGGCTCTCGGTGTAAAGTGAG